CCAGCACTCCTACCCATTGTGTAAAAAAAAATTTAAGTTTCTGTCTTACACTCATTTAACAGGACAGTAGTGCCTCCCTGGATGGTTGCTGCCTACTAACCTACTATCTGCTGTTTGGGATATTTGCCGTTTGGGGTGATATTGAACTGTTGTATCTGCACGCCTCTGCAAAGACAGTGATGTGTGAATAATGGTGAAAGTGTTGAATGATAGTAAAAGTGTTTCTTTTTCTGGGTCACCCTGCCTCAGTGGGAGATGGCCAGTATGTTTAAAAAAAAAATGCCTGGCAAAATTGGGGTGCATCTTATATGCCAGAGAATACTGTACATCTATACATCAGGCAGACTGGAAGGATGTCATAACCTATGATCACTGAACACAAGAAAGTAATTCATTATGTACGTACAAGAGAGTTCAGCAGCCTTTCACACATTTGCATTAATACCCAAAATATTTATTGGAAAATTGCCACCATTGCACACAAATCATACTACAGCAACAAATGAAGAGTCACAGAATAAGTTCTTATAGCCACCACACACAATTTAATATCTCACGAGGGCAACAGAAACCAGATGTTATTTCAAAATTTGCACCAAGCCTTTAAATTCAGAATGTCTGTATTGGATTTGGAATAGCATAGCACTGTGATACACAAATAACCCACATAAAGAAGAGAGCAGCTTATGACGACGTTTCAGTCCGACTGGACCATTAACAAAGTCACACTGTGACTTTGTAAATGGTCCCAAATCGAACTGAAACGTCGTCGTAAGCGCCTGTCTTCTATGTGCGGGTTATTTGTGTATCGTTCCAGTCACGGTATTGTGTCTTTTTTTGTTATTTGTAGTGCGATGCCATTTGCCCAAGATGGAGTTTGGTTCCAGTCACTTGCTTCCTGACCTGATGCTCCACACTCACCTGGTTCCTGACCTGATGCTCCACACTCCCCGGTTCCTGACCTGATGCTCCACACTCACCTGGTTCCTGACATGACACACCCCCAGACCACTCACCTGTTCCTGACGTGACACTCCACACTTGCCTGGTTCCTGATGTGACGCTTCACACTCGCCTGGTTCCTGAAGTGACACTCTACACTTGCCTGGTTCCTGACGTGGCACTCCACACTCACCTGGTTCCTGACGTGGCACTCCACACTCACCTAATTCCTGACATGGCACTCCACACACTTCTGGTTCCTGACCTGATGCTCCACATTCGCCTGGCTCCTGACCTGATGCTCCACACTCACCTGATTCCTGACCTGATGTCCACACTCACCTGGTTCCTGACGGGGCACTCCACACTCGCCTGGTTCCTAACGTGACGCTCCACACTCGCCTGGTTCCTGACATGACACTCCACACTCACCTAGTTCCTGACGTGACACTCCGCACTCACCTGGTTCCTGATGTGACACTCCACACACTCCTGGTTCTTGACGTAACACTCCACACTCGCCTGGTTCCTCATGTGACACACTATACTCATCTAGTTCCTGACATGACACTCCACACTCATCTGGTTCCTGACATGACACTCCACATTCACCTGGTTCCTGACATAACACTCCACATTCACACCTGAGGGGCACACCCTCCCTATATAAACATGTTCCCATCTCACTTTGTGTATCTGTTGATGATGATTTCACTTGAGGATCAAATGTACAAAACAACTTTATTTCCCACATTCCTGTCTCAATAGTTATATAAATTCAAAACATCATTTCTCTTTATCTCTGCAGTTACCTTTCACCCTCACAAAAAACTGCATATTTCTAGAGCATATCAAAATACCACCCAGCTATAAACTAAAGCTCCCAGGAATGGGAAAGTGGTATAGTAGTAAAAATTATCAATTCATTCATTCTTGGGTCGTCATCGCTGTCACACCCACAACAAAAACACTAAAATTTTACAGGTGATTAAGTGCTGTCCTGGCCGAATCACTATGCCACAAAAAGTGAGAGAGAAATGCACATCTTCCTCAATAAGGTCAATGTGTGTGAATCCATGGCAATTTTCATCAAACCATTGCTAAAGCTCTATACAGTAGTAGAGAAATAATTTTCACTTCTAAACCATGAGACTGTGAAGTGGACTCAGAGAAAGCATTCAGAGAATCTGACAAAATTAATCCAAATCATCTTTAACCATTTAATCATTTTAACCATTTTTGGTCCAACATGAACTGAAAATGATCCAAGTTGGACCAAAACATTGTAAACTTTTCTCTCCTATGTGCAGGCTATTTGTGTATTGTCCCAGTCATGGTACTGTGCTTTTTTGTTCTATACAAAGTGTAATACTTATTTTCTTACCTTAGGCACAACAGCTTGGAGAACATAATTCGATATAGGGCTGTGAATTGTTAGACACAGTGGATACAACAACAACAGACACATCCTCTCGAGGTTGATTCTCTGTGAAGTGTAGAGTAACACTCACATCATTACTCTCCAGAACGTTTACAGAGCCTTGTCTCCCTGAAAAAGAAATGAAAGGCATAAAATATTGTACATTTATTCTGAGTACTGTATGTAACAAGAAGCCATCGTGAGAAGACACATTATTGCAATAGACAGAACATACCCTTGTCCTAAGCTCATATTACTCTATTCCTCATGATTTTACTTCATAAATATATTGTTTAGGAGTCTGTAAAAAAAGATACAAAAATCAAACCGAGTGCAAAAACTGAAATGGAGACATTCAAAGCATACTAGTCGGGCCTAAAAAAAAAGGGAGTTTCCGTGACCTGACCCACTAAATAGGCAAACCCAAATTTGTTATTGTCATCTAATGCCATTAAAAAACGCTTTTTAAAAAATTTAAAAAAATATAACACCTACCATCCGACTTACGCCCTAGTTCGGTTCCAAAACCGGTCGAAAGCAAAAGGGGTCGAAGTCGAACTTTACTATGAATATCAACAAAAAAAATTTTTGAAATGAATTTATTTTATTTTTTTTGTTTTGTAGTTCATGTTTTCTTTACTTTTTAGTTGTTAGATGTATTTTTACGAAAAGGTTTAGGATAAACACTGTTTACAACACAAATAATTGTTTTTTCCCCCAGAAATTTGGCTAAAAAACACGGTCGAAAGTCAAGGGGGTCGTAAGTCAAGCAGGTCGAAAGTCGGAGGGAGGTATATTTATTAGGCAAATCTGAAGTAACCATCAGCCCTCCTTCAAATATAAACCCTTCACTTTAAAAAGACACCATCTCTAAAATAAGTAAGTAAGAAAAAATTATTCAGGTATACACAATACAGTTACATAAATTTCAAACATAGCACATATGGTAGAAACCTAGGATAACCCAAAAAGTCAGACAGATACCCCTTCAAAATAACCAATAAGGCACCTGCATTCACAATTCGTGATATTCTCTATCAACAGAGACCTGAACACGCACTTGTTATTGTTTATCACTTAAAACCTCAATACAGAGGTCCCCTTTTTGGCTTCCCTAACAGGGGGAGATTAAATTATGACAAAAACTTGCATACGGCTCCCAGTCTTTTTAAACGGGACACCCTCCCGGTTTAAAATTCTCCCTGGAAAGTCTCTCAATACGTCGGAAACTTCCCAAAATTTTAATGTTTTTAAAGTTATGCATTTTTAAATGTGCTCTGGTAATTATACTTTTTGTGTACCCGTACCCAAATAACTTACACAATGTGCTGGCGTGCAGGTAAAACATTAAAACACTAGGTTTTTTTTCTACATTGACGGCTATTAAAAAATTGTAACCCTTAGAAGATTTTAAAATCATATCAGGGACCCCCCCATATTGATATTAAACCTTCCCGAGGCCCATCAAAAACCCAAAAAACGAAAAGCAATCAATTTTCCCCATAAGAAAAATGGAAAAAAATTAATCCGTGAAAACCCCAAAAGTAAGGAAAAAAAAAAAATTTTTCCCCATGAAGTTAATGCAAAGAATAAAAAAAAATAACAAAAATACAAAGAATAAATGACACTAACCTTAATGAAGATCGGGTGATGATTGAGGGGTGGGGGGAGGGGAGAGGTTTAGTGTTTAGAAGGGGAAAACCCCTTCCATTAGGACTTGAGGTAGCAAGTCCTTTTCCGGGGTTACTTCCCTTCTTCTTTTAATGCCACTAGGACCAGCTTCAGAGTCACTGGACTTCTGTCGCACAACATATCTGTCCATAGTGGCCTGTACCTCTCATTCCTTTATGACATTCCTAAAGTGTTTCACAACATTGTCAGTGTAATAGTCACCAGCACCGCTTGCAATAGCCGTGTTAGGGTGATTTTCATCAAAAAAGGTTTGCACTTTAAGCCACATTCCACACATTTCCTTAATCTTTGAAGTAGGCAACTTCTTCAATTTCTCTATCCCCTCCTCCAAAGCAGTTTCCTCAGGTGTGGCCTCTTGCTGTTGAAGATGATCTAGCAGCTCATCTGTGGTTAGTTCTTAATCATCCTCCTCCACCAACTCTTCCACATCCTCCCCACTAACCTCCAACCCCAAGGACTTCCCCAATGCCACAATGGATTCCTCAACTGGCATAGGCTTCTCAGGGTTAGCCTCAAATCCTTCAAAATCCCTTTTGTCTACACATTCTGGCCACAGTTTTTTCCAAGCAAAGTTCAAGGTCCTCTTAGTCACTCCCTCCCAAGTCTTACCTATCAGGTTTATACAATTGAGGATATTAAAGTGATCCTTCCAAAACTCTTTTAGTCAGTTCAGTTTCTGTGGTCACTATAAAGCACTTTTGAAACAGCTTTTGTGTACAGTTTCTTGAAGTTGGAAATGACCTGCTGGTCCATGGGCTGCAGGAGAGGAGTGGTATTAGGAGGCAAAAACTTAACCTTAATGAAGCTCATGTCCCCACAAAGTCGCTCTGCCAAGTCTGTAGGATGACCAGGGACATTGTCTAACACCAGGAGGCACTTAAGGTCTAATTTCTTTTCAATTAGGTAATTTTTCACAGTGGGGGCAAATGCATGGTGTAACCAGTCATAGAAAAAGTCCCTAGTGACCCATGCCTTACTGCTTGCCCTCCACAGCACACACAAATTAGCCTTGAGGACACTGTTTTTCCTGAACACACTGGGAGTTTCAGAGTGATACACCAATAAAGGCTTCACTTTGCAATCACCACTAGCATTGGCACACATCAACAGAGTAAGCCTGTCTTTCATAGGCTTAAGTCCTGGGAGTGCCTTTCCCTCCTGAGTAATGTAGGTCCTGTTTGGCATTTTCTTCCAAAACAGGCCTGTTTCGTCGCAATTAAACACTTGTTCAGGTTTAAATTTTTCACTGTCTGTGTAATCCTTGAATTCCCTACACTGAGAGTAAAAGGTAGATGGGATACAAGGAGAATAGAAGCATCAGGGAAGAGAGAGGTGAAGGTTTATAAACTAAAAGAGGAGGCAGTTAGGGTAAGATATAAACAGCTATTGGAGGATAGATGGGCTAATGAGAGCATAGGCAATGGGGTCAAAGAGGTATGGGGTAGGTTTAAAAATGTAGTGTTAGAGTGTTCAGCAGAAGTTTGTGGTTACAGGAAAGTGGGTACGGGAGGGAAGAGGAGCGATGTGGAATGATGATGTGAAGAGAGTAGTAAGGGAGAAAAAGTTAGCATATGAGAAGTTTTTACAAAGTAGAAGTGATGCAAGGAGGGAAGAGTATATGGAGAAAAAGAGAGAGGTTAAGAGAGTGGTGAAGCAATGTAAAAAGAGAGCAAATGAGAGAGTGGGTGAGATGTTATCAACAAATTTTGTTGAAAATAAGAAAAAGTTTTGGAGTGAATTAACAAGTTAAGAAAGCCTAGAGAACAAATGGATTTGTCAGTTAAAAATAGGAGAGGAGAGTTATTAAATGGAGAGTTAGAGGTATTGGGAAGATGGAGGGAATATTTTGAGGAATTGTTAAATGTTGATGAAGATAGGGAAGCTGTGATTTCGTGTATAGGGCAAGGAGGAACAACATCTTGTAGGAGTGAGGAAGAGCCAGTTGTGAGTGTGGGGGAAGTTCGTGAGGCAGTAGGTAAAATGAAAGGGGGTAAGGCAGCCGGGATTGATGGGATAAAGATAGAAATCTTAAAAGCAGGTGGGGATATTTATTTATTTAATTTATAATTTGAGCACACTTACAGAGGTACAAAATAATACAGAAGAGCAGCATGCCAGAGCCACTTATACTATGCATAGCATTACGGGCTGGCTTAAAATTAACTTAAGATTAACTAAGCAATGATGAAATCAGTGAAAAACATTAATGTAAACTGATTACTATAAAGCTCAAGTGAGTATTACAAAGACAGGTCATATGGTTGCATGCATTGTTGTAAATTCAGTAGAATGGAGTATTCTGTTAGGTAGTGTTTTTAAAAAATAATAAAGTTAGATTGGGTTTTGGGTTTAACATTTATGTGTTAAAATTTGGGGGGAAACTTTTAAATTAAAATTTTAAAAAGGTTCAGTTATTCAGTAATTTTAAATTTGTTTTTGGGTAGTAAGTGATTTTTGAGAAAACTTTAATTTATAAAAGGTATGTTTCTTTTATTTTACGGGTAATAAATTCCAGATTTTGGGCCTTTTTATGTGCATTGAGTTTTTTGCTAGGGTGAAGGACACGGGGAATATCAAAGATGATCTGTGCCTTGTGTTATTTATTTTTTTATTTTTTTATTTATTTAAAATTTTGAGCACACTTACGAGGTACAAAAAAATACAAAAGCAGCATGCCAAAGCCACTTATACTATATAGCATTAGGGGCGGGCTTAAAAATTAACTTAAGTTTAAAAAGCAATGATAAAATCAGTAAAAAAAAATTTAATGAAAAACTGATTACTATAAAGCTAAAGTGAATATTACAAAGACAGGTCATATGTTGCATGCTTTGTTGAAAATCATAATGGAGTATTCGTTAGGTAGTGTATTAAAAAATAAAAAAAGTTAGTTTTGGGTTTTTTAGGTTAACTTTTTAGTAATAATTGTGAAAAATTTAAGATATACAATTTAAAAGGGTTTTCAGTTATTCAGTATTTATTTGGTTTTTGGGTGAGTAAGTGATCTTTGAGAAGAGACTTGAATTTATAAACAGGTAGTTTTTTCTTTTATATTTACAGGTAATGAATTCCAGATTTTAGGGCCTTTTATGTGCATTGAGTTTTTGCATAGCGTGAGATGGACACGAGGAATATCAAAGAGTGATCTGTGCCTTGTGTTTGGTCAGTGTTTGTTTGAGGTTGGCAAGGAATGTTTGAGGGGAGGGTTAATATCAATTGAGTGTTCTAGTATGTAATAGGTGCAGTATAAGTATGGATGTTTTGTATGGTGATAGGTTGAAGTGTATTGAATATTGGTGGAGTGTGCTGCCTGTAGTGAGAATTTGTTATCATTCTAACTGCAGCCTTTTGTTGGGTAATTAGTGGTCTGAGATGGTTACTTGTTGTTGAGCCCCATGCACAAATTCCATAGGTGAGATAGGGGTAAATAAGAGTGA